TATTAATTTCTATGCAGTAGTTTTTGAGTAATGAATAAATAAAAAATTCCAAAATTTTTTGCATCACACTGTATATAGTTTGAATTAATATGTAATATAAATTGTTTGCTATTGATTTAATTCTTAAGATCTTCAAAAATAATTATACCATGCTTTAATTATTTATATATTTTAATAGTAACTTAATTAACTGTAATAAGAATTTATAAATTTAACAGTATATATACTTTAGAATATTATAAAGTTATTTTATAATTATTAAATATAAAAAATATATAATTATAAGAAAAAAATTTTTTATATACAATATTTTTCTTAAAAATTTTCATTTATAATGTTTTTTTTTCAAAATTAAAGAAAAATTTGAATTATATTTCTATTTTTAATTTAAAAACATATTTTTAAATTCAAATATATATTTTTTATCTTGTTATTTAAATTTTAAATCTTAACTTATACTATTTTTAAAAATTATAATAATTTGATTTAATTTTTAATTTTTAGATTTATATTAAATTTAATAGATAAAATATAATCTATTATTATTTTAATAGTATTCTGAACCTTATACAATTTTATATAATTATATTCAATTTTAATTTTTGAAATTATAAATATTTCTGAATTCTACAAATAATAATTTTTCTTATTATCTATAGCAAGTATTATCTTTTTAAGTTTTGCACTAAATTGAAATAGCTCAGATTAGAATTTTAATTATCATAAAATAAATATTAATTAAAATTAATTAAAATGAAATATAGTTTTATTTATATATTCAAATGGGTTATATTCTTGTTTCAATAATTATTATATTATTAAATAGACAATTATTGTGTTATGTTACCTTCTTTAAAAATTAAAATTTTAATATTCATTAAATTAACATATAAATTGGCTTTTATAAGAAATAATATTTAGTAAATTATAATATCAGATATTATATTAATTTTATTTAATTGTTTTTATCTAAAGTTAAATTGATATTTTGTAATTTGATTTGTAAAATACCAACTATTATATTATATATTTACAGGTCTCTTAATATGTTATTATTTTTTTAATAACAATATTAATTATTATTATTTTTTTAAGTAGATAAATATTGTCACTCATTATAAGTGTAAAAATATATAAAATTTATATATAAAGAAGGTAACAATATCTCTTATGTGGCTAGTTAATCAATAAATTTAATATTAACTTATCTATAATAAACTATTTAAGTTGCAAAGGAAAAGAAATATTAAAACCAATATATTGTCAAAGATAGTACTAAGCAGTTATAAATACTTACTCAAATTTTTATATAAAAAGACTGTATAAAGTAAATATTGAAGAAAAAAAAATTGGCAGATCATAAAGCTAACATGTAGTATCATTGACAGCATCTTCTTTTTATCAAACTTTAACAATTAGGCACAAGTGTCAACTAAAGCTCTAATACAATTATATAACACTATATGGAAATCATGATATGTTACAGCCAATATCTTTTCACAAAATAGTATAAAATAGAAAAACAAATATTCTAATAACATAATTAAAGACAATTAAACAACTTTTAAATCAAATCCACAAAAATCTCCATTAATACAAGAATTACAACAACAGTCAACCTACCTACCTTAGTCACAGATGCCTATATTCAAAACAACCTTAACTTTTTTAAATGTATTACTAAACCAATTCAAAGTTATTTCAATCTTATTTCTTCTAATATTGAATAGGTAAGCATAGCTGCTCGATATCATCTGACAAGATATATTGTTTTAAAATTTATTTTCAATATTAGTTATTTGATTTCTATAGACAAGCTAGCATTAAACTCACTGTATTTACAAATGAGAGATATTATTTCTTTTATGATATATACTTTTAATATACAAATTAAATAAAGAAATAATATTTATCTACTAATATATATATATATATATATTAAGTAAAGAAATAGATACAAAAAAATTTAAGAATGTTATAAAGAAGTATATTACACTAGTGATTCTATTTAACTGAAGTACAGTATATGTATAATAGTTGCCAAATAAGGTTTTGTTTATATTGATTAATATATAGTATTTTAATAGTATGGATTTGTTTAAATAATTGGTGATGTTTAATTAATTAATTTTGAAATGATGATCAATTAATAGAAGTAAATTAATTGCAGTTTTTTTGTGAAAATTTTTTTGAAAAAAAGTTTTATGTTTTTTGTGGTATAGCAAAATATGTTAGACAATAGTAAAAAGTAAACAATAAATATATTGTTAGTTCTTCAAGTCAACAATATAAACATTTCAATATATAATTTGGTTTTTTTATTTATAAAGAAGATCTTCAAGAAAAGAATAAGATTATTTAATAAGAAATGTATATTAGTAAGAAGTGAAAATAAAAAGAACCCCAAGAAAGATTTATAAAGAAATAACTGTTATGAGCCTTTCCTTATGCAATTCAAAGAAAAAGCAAAAACTCCAAACTTGCTTTTTTTTATTAGAGATTTTATTCTGATGTACTAGTATACTTCTTTAATTTTTTTAAGGTTTTTGTGGTGAAAATAAAGATTGTGTAAAGGACTTTGGAAGTTGAAAGGCAAAAAAAATATTTGTTTCTTTAATTTTAAAAGATAATTATTAAAAAAAAATTTTTTTAAGAAAAAAGATATATACAGAAAAAAAGTTTATATATTATAATCAATAACAATATTAATTATATAATATAATAAATATTATATTATTATATATTTTTTACCTATAATATATATATTTTAATAACTTTATTATTTAAATTTTTATAAAAAAAATAATTTTTTTTAAATAATTATTGTTTTAAATAATTATTTTTTTTGAATTTACAATTTCTATATAATATATTGTAAAAAAAGATATTTGTTCTTTTTAAATAAAATTTGAAAATTTTTTAAGCCTGTTTTTTACATTTTTATTAATCAATCGATATAAAATTATTTAATTATAAAATTTTATTTCAATTATTTATTAATTGTTTGTTGATTTTTTATAAAATAAAAAATTTATTTATAATTCTACTATTATGTAAGTATAGATAATTTATAAGAAATCAGTTCTTATGGTATTAAAAAAGATGCCTGCAAATTTTATATAACTTCAATAGTTAACCATTGAATTATAAATAAATATATAACTCCAGCTTTTTCTTTACACCATACTATACATATATCAATTTTTAATGTTGTTTTTTTTTTTGTAAGAGATGTAACTTTAAGAAAAATGATATGTCACAAGGCAATCATCATTTTTGATTCCAGTCGTGTACTTGTTTTTTTAAAATCACGATGTAATTTGAATCGAATTTATATATTCATATACATGTATTATATTCGAAAATATACGTATATCAATAATTTGATCTGAAATAATAAGAAACAACTCTTGTTGTTAATATACGTATATATATTTTTATTTCCTAGTTAATTTGAATCAAAAAAGAAACGAAACGGTTGTTTATTTTTGCCGAGATATCGATTAGTTTACGTACATGTGTATTTTCTCGATAGGGCTCTCTTTGTAATGTAAAAGTTATCCGAGGAAATAACCTGCATACGTTAATTTGATGATGATTTGGTAAAGTTAAAATAGAGTGTACGCGCATGGTATCTTACGTAAATATTAAAAATTAGGTAGTAAAATTTATTGTCCGAATAGAAGCTCACGGATAATTCCTTGTTTGCAAAACAATTAATGCGCATATCGTTACATCATTTAATCTGGTTGATTCAATATTTCTACCATTAAAGGCCGTGATAATGACCATCATTAAAAGGAATGATTACAGAAACAGGATGCACGTATGTAACATATGTTTAATTTGGATGGAATTTCATGTGTAAAAGGATTAATTTTTACGTAGTTCCAGTAGTTTCACAAGCAGTAAATTTTGTCATTGAAAATCAGTATATAAATTTAAGCTGGCTACTTGATTGAACTTTTTGTAAAAAAACTTTAATTTCATTTCAAGAATGTCTAAACAAGACGATAGTCAAAGCAATACCGATGTTACTGACGAACCGATTAGCAATGATAAAGATAAAAAAAATTTGCGAAAACGGAATACGGCTTCACGTAGAAAACATAATTCAGAACCGAGGCGTAAATACAGCAATACACCGGATGCTGTAGAAGAATTAGTGAATGAAACATTTTTTTTGAAACATGAAGACGAAAGACCCTTCCTTACTAAAAAACGCGTGGTCTTCACTGCTGGACTCGTTTTCGGTCTCATAATTGCTTGGGCGATGGCACCACAGTCGTCGGATTTGAAAATTTTTTCCAATTTCCTCGCAGAATCTTTTTCAGATTTAGATTTTAGTAGCATGTTACCGGCTAATGTCCTGTTGGAAGAATTGTTTGGGAATATTACATTATTACTAAAGCCAAACATTTCGATTTTGGAGGATACCGAGTTCTTACCTGCATTATCTTTAGCCAAAGAAGGAATTAAAGCGAACTTCCCAGTTGTCTTGATTCCCGGGATTGTCTCAACTGTGATTATCACTCACTGCGTTTATTTCAAACGATCCTTGTAGAAATTGAGACCAATTCTTTTTATCAAATACATACCGTCAATATTAGGGCTTGGAAAGTTGGAGTACGTCTAATTGCTCACGACCTTATTTTAGAAGGCGGATGTGGGGAACCACCAGTAAGTAAATACGAGATACAAATGGTAATATGTAAAGATAGGTGAAAGGCTTATTCGTTCGATTTTCATCCAGCCATGTTCCGTGCGGTAATATTGGACAAGGAATGCTGGAGTAATCATATGCGACTCGATCCTGAAACCGGATTAGACCCACCGGACTTTAAATTACGGGCTGCTCAAGGTAAGATTTCACCAATGTCAAATGTCACCGACCGATTACTCATACCTTTAATGAATGTCATAGGGTTGGACGCGGCGGATTACTTGTTTCCCGGGTGAGTTTTGGATTGTCATTTGGTTTTAAAACAAGATGAACAACTGTATCAATTCTTCATCATAAATAACATTTTTCGTAATCTTTTAAAGATACTGGGTGTGGGGTGAGTAATAATGATACTTTTTTGATCGCACATGGTATTAGGGATTAATGTGAAGAATATTTACCGTTCTAGGTAAGATGATACAGAACTTTGCGGCGATTGGATATGATTGCAACAATATGCATCTTGCCGCCTATGATTGGAGACTTTCATTTTTCAACCTTGAAGTCAGAGATAATTATTTCTCGAAGCTTAAATCTAACATAGAATTGTCGAAGAGAACTGTAGGGAAAAAGAGCATTCTAGTTGGCCATTCGATGGGTATGTAAAAGGCTCATTGGGCGAAATTCTTGATTTCCTCATCTTTTATACTTAATCATATCGAATTCCTATAGGTTCCTTGGTGACTCTTTATTTTTTCAAATGGGTGGAGTCACCAAATGGAGGTAACGGGGGCGAAAATTGGGTGAATGATCACATCGAATCATTTATAAATATTGGTGGTCCTTTATTGGGGGTGCCCAAAGCTTTGTCAGCACTGCTTTCGGGTAAGGTTACTTTGTATGGGTAGCACATCTTGAAATCAACACATCTTTATGATTAGAAGTTTTTTGTAGGTGAAATGCGTGATACTGTAGAATTGGGTGCTTTTGGAGTATACGTTCTTGAAAAATTTTTCTCAAAACATGAAAGAGCCAATCTATTTCGTACATGGGGTGGTCTTTCATCGATGTTGCCTAAAGGTGGTGAATCCTTGTGGGGAAACGAGACTCATGCTCCCGATGATCACGAAGGATTGTTAGAATCATACGGTTCTATGATAAATTTACGTTCACATATTGGTATGGAAAATAATAGCGATAATGAAAACTCCACATTACCTATGGTGCTAAAACACACGAGTAGTTCCGGAGTAGAATTTTTGAAGAAACACGCAGATACACTGTTCACTGAGATGTTGACAAGGAATTACAGCTTTGGAATTTACAAATCGAAAGAAGAATTCAATGACCAATTGGATCACACAAAATGGACCAACCCGCTCGAATCGCAGTTGCCTAATGCGCCAAACATGAAGATATATTGTTTGGTGGGTTTTACAATGAATCCGAATTTTCTTAATCGTTACGCGATATTAACCATGGGTATCATGTGTATATTGAAATAGTATGGATATGGCAAAGAAACCGAAAGAAAATATTTCTACAATACCGAATCATCAGTCGAACGACCGGAGGGTAGAAAAAGAGATGAACTAAAAAATTTCCTAAAACACATATTTATCGATAGTTCCATGAACTCAGACAAGGATCCATACTTAAAGAGTGGTGTACATAATGGAGAAGGGTAAAAAAAATGTCAAATTATTCATGCTTCAAGATATAAAAGAATCATTTGATTAGACTTGTTTTCACCTTCAATATAGAGATGGTACGGTGCCTTTGTTATCTTTGGGCTACATGTGTACGAAAGGATGGAAAAATCCACTATACAATCCAGCTGGAATAAAAGTCATCACTCGAGAATTTGTGCATGAAACAGGACCATCTCTCGATCTTCGTGGAGGTGGTAAAACAGCGGATCACGTTGATATTCTGGGAAATTATGCTCTCACCGTAAGTGAACTTGAGAACGATGCAATTATGAACTGCAAATATAAAGCCATGATTCTTTTCTTTTTTATAGGGTGACGTTCTAAAAATCGCTGCAGGAAATGGTGATGAACTTGAGGATAATATTTCTTCCAATATTTTGGAATACGTTTCTAAGGTTAATGTCTAAACGAAGTGGTGTTGGTTCACCAGGGCTATTCTTATATTCCACATATGTATAGGTAGACACTGATATATCTACGTTTGTACTTAATTCGGATTTGTTATACTTAATTCGTTTCGAATCGTTTTTTTCTCGGAATCTGTTTAAAGGGATTTAAATAAATTAGCTTCAAAATTACATTATTGAGAAATCAGAGATCATACGCACATAATATTGTAACACGTTCTATTAGACAAAATTCAAGAATCCAAGCGGCCGAACGAAATATTATTTGAGAGGATTAGTCTGATATTAAAAAAGTTATGGTATTCTTATTGATGAATGACGGAAAAAACCAAGCATAACTTTGATACAATACTATTATTGCATACGTTGGCGCAAAACTTCATCCTTAATGTATTGAATGTGTAGGAAGACATACGACGCTGAAGTTCTCATTTTTAATAAACACTGAGGAACATAACGCATTTACGGGGGGACATTCTATCAGAAATTCTATTTCCTTTTCGTGTTGTAATTCTATTCGAGACAGCTCACAGTTCACACTCGAGGGTTTTAAGACTTGTGAAATTGTACTTGAATTCGTGAATTTTTTTCTGTGCATTTAGTTAAGAAAATGGCGTTTACAGAATTTATATACATCTTACAACATAATTAAATAAGTAATCAAAATGAATTAATTCAATTTATTCCCAAGGTCAATAAAAACTTGATATAGTTAGTCTGGAATTTGCTTTCGTATAATAATGGCATTTATTTACTGTATATGCTGCGGTGATTTTTATATCTTGTTCACGTGATTTAATTCTACTTTTTATTCACTTTAAGATATGAGAAGTTGTTATTATTACATATCATAATAGTAGAAAGAATAAATGAAAAATTATTTTGCACAACAACTAGCACGCTTCGACAGACACATATAGGAAGTCGCTTTCGGATTTTGTCATTTCGGTAATTGTGTCGGTGATTTACTCTTTCAGAGATTCTATTTCAGCCCGTCAGCGCTTATTACGACATTCCGAAAGTTTTTAAGTTCCGATGCTGTTACTGTGACAAAATCATATACTGCATACGGTATTTCGTGCTTTTGTGATATTTAACTACATACATAAATGTCTAGATATATTTTTTTCTATCTTAATTAATCCGTGCATTTACTTAAATCAGAACATAAATGTATTCCTTTTATGTTCTCTCTTAAATTAATCTTCCGTGAAGTATTCTTTTTTTGTAAGTTGGAAAACTTCGTAATCATCGACTGCAAAATTAGTATCTTTGGTAACCTGCAACTCATAACATTTTTGTTGACATGTCCAAGGAAGATTGTAGATAAACTGACCCAACCTATGACTGAAAGAAGCCACCATTACCAAATCTGTAATTCCAAAACATGGTCCAATACATGGAGAATCGTCAATTGCACACTTTGTATTTTGCACCCTACTCAATATGGCTTGTCCAAGTTTAGGGTCTAATCCATCACCCAGGGAGAATATAAAACTTTCCGTGGTTTCAATCCAAAGTCCTGAAGAACTCCATCCAACCGGATTATATCCTCCAATCAGCTCTCCAGTACCTTTAACTTTTGCCACAACCAAGGTGGGTCCTTGATTATCACAAAGTTCATGAAACTTCTGTTCTTTAAAACCGTCTCGTGTACCCCGGAGTAAAAGAGAGAAATGGTAAGACACCATCTGGCAAGAACCATCAAAAGTTTCTTGACGATCTATCCAACTTGAAATTAATGCCGCGTGACGTGATCCAATAATGTTAGAATCTAGGACGATGCCTCGTGGTGGTACTAATGATAAGATTGATAAAGTATCTCTTGTGAGTTGAAAACGTAATATTTCTTCATACACATTATTCGGAAACGCCTCCTTGAACGGTCGAACATGGTGATAAAAATCGGCGCCGGAAATATGATAAAATCGAATGTATTCAATACAATTCTCTAGTTTCTTGGAGAATCTCGAGAGTTCTTCACCACTCCACTGGTTTACATTTCTAAGTAATATTTGTGCTTGTGATGCACTCCATTTCAGTGCCACACCCCAGACATCAATTTCTTCAAGTTGAAGATCATCACATTTTAGCATTGCCAACAGTAGTTTTTCTGGCCATTGGGTAAAGTAGCGTCGATGTTTCTTGGGAGGATCTTGGGAAATTATTCTTACACAACATTGCTGAAGTATTTCAAAGCTATCATTTTCGAAGATGGTGGGTATGATATTATATAAATTATTCCGCATCCAACTTATTCCATTTTCAACAATGTAATTCTGTGTATAGTCAAGCAACTGACTCAGACACAACTCTTCTGCGGCCAATAAAAGAGCCGTCATGTAAGACCAATCAACCTCTTCTAGCTTTACTGTTCCGCTATAAATGTATCTTAAAAATTTCAAATATAGATCACGTGTTAGGCTTTTAAGAGAAACGAAAAAATTGACAGGAAATCCGTGAATCTACCTGAGAATAATTGCAAATGTTTCGGAAGATATATTTGGTTTCTGGAAAACATAAAAGCTCCCTTCTTTTTCAACCAACTGATCGGCCAAGGCACTTTTGAAATAGGTTGATCTAGTTCGGAGAATGATGGAATGTGCCTTGAATTCTTTTTTTTGCTCTCCAACTCGTATGAGCACGTCAAAATCATCGGCGGCCTCTAGTAATTGAATGAAATCTACAGATAACAGAACTAGTAGTTCCGCCGACATTTTGAGCTCAAATAATAATTAAAATAAGATTAAAAAAATTTTCAAAGTGAAAACGATACCAAATCACTTGTCATTATTTATATTTAGGTCACGTTGATAATATCGATAGGAAAATTATGCTGATATACTGAGAATGGGCTTTCTAACTCTAATCCTTTTATTGAAATCTGTGAAATCTTTGAATTTCTGATGATTCATGAGATTTACACCGTGCATTACTGGTAAGCACATAATCTCATTGTATGGAATTGTATGGCATTGTCGAAAAGAACTAGAAGTATTTCGGGCAAGTTACCCCACGGAAAATTTTGCGATCCGCCGACAACAGGTTCGTCACACATAATCCCAAAAGCATAACATCCCTATGACATTTAATCACCTGCATAGTTTTTAGTAATCATAAATACACCTCCTGCATACTTGTAAGTTCAACACGTGACGTGCGCTGATATCGATGGCATCATACTTCATACGCATCTCGCGTTCGACAGACAAATTTGACAATAACCTTAGTCAGCATTATTGATGCACTTGACCAAATGGCGTCTTCTATTTTACATAATGGATTATGATATACTATAAGTGATCAACTCTCGATAAACAATAGATTGCCATTCACTATCAAGTGAAACCTTTGAACATTTTGATGATTTAATAATACTTTATCGTGTTGTCATGCTAAGAACAGCTAAATTAAACCAGACAATCTTCTCTTTTTACGTATATTAAAAAAAAATTTTTTTTTTTCAATAGTCCACGGTTATTCATAAAACTATTTTATTTACTAAAAAAAATACCATTATTTTTGCAATAATAGGAAATATATGACAGTATATAAGAAATATCAAATTGAATCTTGAAATCAAAAATATTATTCTTTTTATTTATAAATAAATAGATATGTAGATATAGAGTAAAGGTTGGAAAGGAAAAAAAAAAGATTTTTCAAATTTAATTATCAAAAAAAAAACAATATATTCGTATATCATTTTTATTTCATTATTAGGCATTTATTAAATTAGGTACAAATAAGTTAATACCTTCTTTGATATTTTAAAATTTTTTTAAAAAATAACCCATAATTAGATAAAAAACATTATTTACAATAATTTTAATCACTACATTAAAATAAAATAAAATAAAATATTTATTTATTTATTTATTTATTGCAAATGAACATTAAAGTAAAATAATATTTTAAATAATATTTTTAATTAAATTTAATAAAAATAAAACAAGAAATCTAAAATTTATAAAAAATTTAATTAAATAAATCTGTAAACTTACAAAATAATAATAAAACAATTAATATTTAATTTTTTTATAATAAATAATTAACTATAATCAAATATCATATCTAAAATATTCAATAATACCAAATATATATTTTATTGACATAAAAAAAAAATTGATTATTTATTAATTTATAAAAAACTTTTTTAAAAAAGAATAAAATATAAAATCAAATTTAAAACTAATTTGTTGAAATTTATTTTTTATTTAAAAATAAATAAAATAAAAGATTTTTTAATAAAAAAAATTATTATTATAAGTATTAAATTTTAAATTAAAGTATAAATTATAAATCAAATAAAAATTTTTATTAATTTTTCTTTTTTTTTTTTAATATTAATTTGAGATATTTCTTATAATCTTTATTAACAAAATAAATATAAAATATCATATAATTAGTAAAAAGATATAAAATATATGACTATAAATATTGGTTCATTATTTATTATAATAAATATATTTTTAAAAAATTTTAAATAGAAAAAAAATTATTTATTAAAAATAATAAAAAATAAAAAATATTTAAAATAAAATTATTGATTTTATAAAAAAGATTAAATAAAAAAAATATATTAAAATATTAAACCTATAGGTCTATAATACAATAATTAGTGCTTTACAAATCAAATTACAAGATATTGATTAATTTGATTTCAAATAAAGGTAATTAAATAAAATTAATACAGTATCTAATATTATAATTTCTTAAAGTATTTTTTTTTGTAAGTAAACATTGCTGCTTTATTAATTGTAAAAAATTTAGATTTTCTATATAACAAAAGTAACAATATCTCTTATATAATATATTAAGTTAATAAGTTTAATATTAACTTGTCTACATTAATCTACTATATAATAAAGAAAAATAAATATTAAAATCATTATATATTATAGAAGATATTAAATAGTTATGAATATCTATTCAAAATTATTAGTAATAAATTAATTAAAATTAAAATTAGAGATTAAATTTTTTAAACATAATAATAAATTGAAGTTGCTATTTATAAATTCATCTGTAATGATAGATAGAAAATCTATGTCTTTTGGTTTTAAATTAAAATTTGAGAATTGATAGGAGTAACTATAAGACTTGGTTAGAGAGTTTTTACAAGATTGATAAAAATTCTAATTTCAGATTATATCTATAGAGGGTGAAATGTTTGCTATATTGCATTTTGGTTTTCATATAAGATTATAAAAAAGAGTAAATACTTCTAAAGCTACTTTTATCCAATTATCAATATCAGTTATGACAAAGATCTTGCTGATAACTTTGCAAAACAATTTGACTATTTGTCAGATATAATTAACTGGAGTATTATTTTTGCTAGGACAGAATATACTATTTATAGTATTGATAATTTGAATTGTTTGTTTTTCTGCTTTAATGTACTCAAATGTACAGTTTGGGACAAAAAAACTGGCACTCAATTTTTTTTATTAAATAATTTTTTTAAAAAAACTATATTTAAAAATTATTAAATATAAAGAATAATTTTTATTAATAAACTATTTTAAGTTTTATTAAAAATTTTTTTAAAAAAAATTAAATTAAATTATTATATTATTCTTTTTAAAATTTTTTGTATTAAAAGCAAAATCAATATAAAATCATATTAAAATTACTTTCTACTCTATAGAATTTGAACATAAAATAA